TGTGTGTGTGTGTGTGTGTGTGTGTGTGTGTGTGTGTGTAAGTAAAGAACAAGCTACTTTACAGCACGGATTAAACAGGGATCTGAAGATCAAAGCAGACTTTTTCCCCACTCTTATAGCCAATTTCTGTACATTTCTGCTACAATATTTCTCCTTATTGGAAATTTGTCTTGGTAGCCACCGTGAGGGAAACATGCCTTTTTAGGCAATGCTATGCAAACATCTACACTTCCTGGCACTTGAGTCTGCTCGACAAGCAGTGCGTAGGTTGGGCGTTTCTATGAAACGCCCAACCTCCAACACCACATCACTCCTGCTGAACAAAGTTGGGTGTAGCTCTCTCAGGAACCCCAGTCAGGGAGCAGGTGGGGGGGCTAGGGGTTCCCTCTCCTAGAAGGTAAGGGCAATACACCTCTTTGGTGCAGCATGATGTAGACAGCTCAGGACAAGCATCTGAGGGGGGAATCTAGTGGCTGTTTGCAAACTAGTCGGGACCAGCAGGCACTGGGGGAGTCCCTGTTCCCCTGAGCACTACCAGAAGTGACAAGAAATAAGGGTCACAAGCTGGCAGATTTAGGCTAGACATCAGGAGGCACTACTTCACTGTCTGGGTGGCTGGCATCTGGAACCAGCTTCCAAGTGAAGTGGTGCTGGCTCCTACCCTGGGGGTCTTTAAAAGGAGGCTGGATGAACACCTGGCTGGGGTTGTTTGACCCCAGTACTCTTTCCTGCCATGGCAGGGGGTTGGACTTGATGATCTGCTCAGGTCCCTTCTGACCCTACTAACTATGAAATTACTAGTGTTATTCAAACCTCACTTAACCAAGTGTTGGAACACCACATTTATCACTAATGCATGTTACTTTGCAAATACATTGTGACATCCAACCCTTTTCTCAGACAAAGAAAAAGTACCAACTTTAAAGTGAGTTTTCTTATTGTGGAATACCTATACACTAGGGCTGTGCGAAACGGGTGCGTTTCAATTCTGGTTTCAGACTCGGCTGTTTCGGAGGACAGCGATTCATTTTGGTGTTTTGGATCACTGTCCTGTTTTGTTTTGGCCAAATTTGTTTCGAACAGGCTGCAAGGGAAGCTTTACACAGCCCTACCCAGGCGGGCAGGGCTGCAAGGCCAGGGACTGCAGCGGGGAGCAGGATAAGGCTGTGGGTGGCTCATCCAGAGAAGGGCCGCTGCTCTCTGTGCAGGAGAGGAGCACAGATCTCCGATCCCTGTCACACTGGGTTGTGGGGCAGGTTAGCAGCACAGAGCAGCGAACACACCTGCTGGTCCCTTCCATGCAACTCGGCTCCGCAGGGAGCAGAGATCCATGCCGGAGGTCTCCTCGCCACAGCTGCCCACCCTGTGCTGCCCCAGCAACATGGGGCTGCGTGGGGCAGACAGAAGCAGTAAGACGACCCCAGTGCGGATCTCTGCTCCCTGCAGAGCCAGGTTGCATTGCACGGATAGCCCAGCCTGTAGTTTGATTCCCCAGGCCCTGATTTGATTCCCCAGCTCTCTGATCATTCCTTCAGGTCTTCCCAGGGGATGCGGGCCCCCAGATCCACGCATCAGGTTTCAGCAGGCTGCTGCTGCAGGCTGGGGCCAGTGGCAACATTGCAGTCTTCTTGGTGCGGCTGTGACAAGCAGCTGCCACTGGCCCCAGCCTGCAGCAACAGCTTGCTGAAACCCCGCATGCAGATCTGGGGGCCCAGACCCCCCAGGAGGAGCCAGGGAAATGATCAGATAGCTAGGGAAACAAACCTAGAGGTAGCTGTCAATATCAGAGCAGTCGTTCCCTCCCTCTTCTTAGTTTTTGTTTCCCTGCAAGCCTGGCTCTGAAACTCCAAAATTCTCCAAAACATTTCCTAATTGTTTCAGAGCCTTCTGATTCATTTCAGAACCTTCCATTTCAATTTAGATGATTCGGTGTTTTGGGTGCTGAAACGGCTTGAAACACCTCCAAAACAAAACCACTGCCAAAATTTTGCACAGGCCTACTGTATACTACCAAGGTGTGGAAGCCTAGAGGAGGGACACTTAAGAGCCTTTTTAATTTCTTCCCCTCATGGGTGTCTCTAGAGCTTCAAGAGTCAAGGCCTAGGGTCAGTGAGGATCTAGTCAGGGAACTTCTGGAGGGACTGGACGTATTTAAATCAGCTGGTCCTGACGGTCTGTTTTTTTGTTTGTTTGTTTTTAAATTGAGCTCCCCATAAATAACTAAGAAACCACGAGCTTGACTGAATAGCCATCATCAGAATAAAGCTGGATGCGAGTATTGGTGGATGAACACAGCAAAGCAGCCCTGCCTTGAGTGAGTGGAAGCACAGCTTGGTGCCCAGCTGGGAACTCTCCTTCAGGGCTTTGTAGACCACAGAAGCCTCTGAAGTCTCATCCCGAAACCCATGTGCTGCCACTGTCTGAGGTATGGGGTGGGACAGAGAGGGGGTGGTGGTGGTGGTGGTGGTGTGGCCGGGATGGAGCTGTAAGGCTGGGAAGGGGAAGCAGCAGCAGCAGGTGGGGGCCCATGGTAGGATGGGGGAAGTGAGGCCAGCAGGGATAAAAGGTGGGGGCCGGGGTTTCCTAGCAACTGAGATTAGTAACTTGTTTCACTTAATGTTTAATGGCTAAGGTTTCTCGAAGGTTGTGTGTTTATTATCCCTTCCCCCACCCCATACCAAACCCTGTTTTAGGTGAATGTTGCTTGCAAGTGGGAAAGTTTGTTTCTAGGTGGGAACTGGAGACAGATTTAGTAAGCTGGTACTAAATTCCTAATGTTGAACCTGGCCTTCATTACTGCAGGCCAGGGCATACAGGAGGGTTACCTTTATATTATGTAAAGGTAAGTCCAGCTGGCAACTGCGAGACACAGATACGCACACACTACTACCCAGATTGTGACACCTCCACTCACATTAATGGCACTTTACATTGTAAAAAAAAGTCATGACACCTAGAATGACAGCAGTGTTCCTACGTCTTCTAACCAAGGTGCTAGCACTGAGCATGCTAACATGCTCAGGAGAGGAGTCAGAAGAAAATAGTGGTAATAATATTACCCCTTACGCACCACAATGATGATGATATCAAGACAGTTCCAGAGACTCCTGAAGTAATGCAGTTTATGAATGTGAATTTCCAAGATCTCTTCCACCATGTAATAAAGAATGAATAGGCAAAATGCTATTTCACAGGCTGCCATGAAGAAATCAAAAGTAGAAATATAATGAATTAGCTTCACTGGCTGAAACTGCCAAGATGTAAGAAGGCCTCCAGTTGCTGGAAACTCCACTAATAACCTGTTTCAAAACAAGAAAAAAGAAGCTATGAAACAGTCTTTGGAAGTGTTCCTGCCAAATGGTTTATAGTATGTTAGCAGGCAGTTTTAGCCACCCAAAATAATATTTCAGAAGAAACAGAGGAAGTTGCTCAATTTCCTTTAGACCCAAATGTTATAGATTTCCCCAATGCTATTCTGTGCTCAGGTGAGATGCACACCCAGCACTGTTTAAGGCATATATACAAACCCCCAATTTACATAAAAGAAAGAGAAGGAATCCTAAAACACTTGTCTCATTCCAGAAATATCTGAAGGAGGAGGTAATACAAATGAGAGGCTTAGCCATGCCCCATAGACCTACTAGGCAGGACACTTCAGTAGTCTCTGGTCACTTTATTTATTTTCCCTCCCAGAAGCTACCCCCAAATGTAAGAACACTGATGAAAGTCATTAAAATTGAGACTTCTGACAGGCAGTTTCCTCAGAGATCTGATGAATTACAGGCTGGGTTTGACCTCCCTGCATATTTACACATTTTGATTATCTGTACTGTGTTCTTACAAAGGAGACAGGAAAATGGAGCTTGCATATCTGGTTGGACAACTGTATCATCAAGACTGAACAACATTTCAATAAGTCTAGAAAGGCAAGAACATGGAAATACTAGAGAAAATGTTCAAACTCAATTTAATCAGGCTTCTTCATACCAAAGGTGGAATGGAGAATGCCATAAAAGAAGAACAAAAGGTAGATGTCACAGCATGGTTTTAAGTGAAAAAGCAAGTATGGGGGAACAAAGAAACAGGCATATGGTTTCACAGCAAGAGGGGTCCTTTTTACTGAGTCATTAGCCATTGAAGAAAGGAACTGACTGTATGGAAGATATTCACAGTAATTCAGAGATTCTATTTGTACAAAGGAGGATTCCTAAAGGATGCTGACTCAGTTCCAAAGAACTTTTGAAAGGGACCAGAAAACAAACAGGAAATGACAAAAAGTGTATAGTTATGTTACTGTTTTTGTCTAAATCTGCACCTCTCATGCTATCCAAAGTGAAGAATACTAATAAGAATCCCTTGCAAAACCTGTTTTATGTGCTTCGACTGTCCATGCTGTAGAAATAGTAAACCATAAACTCAAATGCCCACAAGATCAGAGGTCTAAGAAAAAGTGTGCTTCAGCTGCCACGGTGACTCCAGGTTAGCAAAGATGCTGGAGGCCAGAGCAGCTGGAACATGAGGTCCCACTTCCACATGTGGAAAACAGAGAGGCAATACTCAGGAAGCTTCTTTGATCAGAGAGTTCCAAGAGAAACATGCCTGGAGCACATGCAGATGCAGATACATGGCTTGAGTGTGCAAAACCCTGAATGGCAGCCTGCTGAGCATGCAGCATGAAAAACTTTACAGGGATTGGACAGACTCACTTCAGTAATGCCAAGCGCATACTGAATAACTCCCACAGTGAAAAGGAACACAAATCCTAGAACTAGAGGTCCTGCTCTGAATTTGGAGGGAACATAACCATTATGAAAAGTTCTATACATACTTGACAATACAGAATAGATTGATGTTTGCGTTGTATACAGAGAAATCAATAAAGGCTGCCCTTGTCCCTCTATCCAGCCAGAGGTTCTTCTTAAGTGTAGCAATCTGTGTAGCTGTCTCCTCCCTGGTTCTTGACAAATCCTGGTAATAACCAGCCCCACCGTAGGTAGCAATCAAACCCCAGTGGCTGCTCCCATTCAAATCCTTTTCACTGGTATAAGTCCAACTAATTTAAGAGCAAAAGAAAGAACACATTACTCCCTCTTCTTGCATTTAACAGCAACTGTTGAAAAAAAGTGATTTCTTAAATGAAAGTAGCTGCTTTTTTTGTTTGTTTTAAAGATATGCACAGGAATTTGTGAGATATATTCCCTGAAAAAGGCACAAAAGGTTCATTTGATCAACCAGAGAAAATGCAGATAGAAATCATGCCATAAGACATCACAATGACAACAGAATACATACATTCTAAACAGGCAGTCCAATTGTTGTGGTGAAATAAAAAGCATCAGTTATACCAGGGGTGGGAAAATCCAGCAGACTCAATTTCCCAGGAGCCCCTGTGGCAGCAGCTCCTTCTGGCTGCCACTGCCTGAGCTAACCTCACTGCCTAGGCACCCTGGTCCGTCTGCCCCACTCACTGTCAGAGGTGGGACCCACGCAGGCAGGGTGCGTGGCAGAAGCGAGATAGGCAGGTGGGTCTATGGAGATGCCTAGATCTTAGGGCAGTGACAGTGTGGGGCCAGGGCAGAGCCATGATCCACAGCCTGCGTGCCCCTGCTACAAGTACAGGTTCTGTGGGCAGGGCCATGCAGGGAGCAGTTCATGGCTCTGCTGCAGCCCCATGCTGTCACTTCCCCAAGATCCCAGCCCTGAAACAGCTTCCCATGTGGCTCCTGGCCAGTCTGCATGGGGACCCCAGGAGCAATGTGGTCATGGCAGTGCAGGGCCAGGGCACAGCCCCGGTTCTGCAACCCCATACTGTCATGGCCCTACCACTCCCAGGGTTTCCATGGAGACCAGCTGGGAGCCACCCAGGTAGGGCCTGTTGGGAAATGGAGTTAGGCCACCAGCTGGCTGTGCCATTTTGCCCACCCCGGGTTATACAGTACTTTACAAAAGTAATCTGCACAGCCAAATAGCCCCTGTGTTCTGGTTGAGGGAGATAATTCATCCAAAACCTCATAGCGAGTAAAGCAAAAAACCTAGAATTAGAATCCAGAGGTCCTCAGAATCCAGTCTATGCTTACAGCACAGTTTATTTCCTAACAAGGGAAATAACCATTGGAGGCAACTTCAACACATCTAAACCAACTGAGCCAAGCACACTCCCCCACCCCCAGAAAAATATAAAACTGTGAAGGATGACTTTATTGGGGTACAAAAAAAAAAAAAACCGCCTGGAATTGAATTTAATTGGAAATCAAGAGTTTACATACAGAGCACGCAAGAATTAAAATACTGCATTTGGCAGCTACTAGGGAACTGGTTAAGAACATCTTCAGAAAATAAAATACTGTCATTTTGGTTGTGCACATTTTCATAGATTTCATAGACATTAAGGGCCGGAAGGGACCTCATAAGATCATCGAGGCAGGAAGTCAGCTAGGGTCAAAGGATCCCAGCAAGATAAGCATCCAACTGTTTCTTAAAAGAGTCCAGAGTAGGTGCATGCACCACATCTGGGGGGAGTCTGTTCCAGGCCTTGGGGGCTCAGACAGTGAAGTTTTTCACTATGTCCAGCCTAAAACAGTTTTGCAGGAGTTTGTGACTGTTGGACCTTGTCATCCCCTGGGGTGCTCTGGTGAACAGGTGTTTCCCCAGATCCTGATGCACACCCTTATGTTCTTATAAGGTTGCCACCAAGTCACCCTTGAGCCTCCGCTTCTCCAGGCTGAAGAGTCCCATGGGTCTCAGCCTCTCTTCATAAGGCCTGTTCCCTTGCCCTCTGATTATGCAAAAGAAATACATACGCAGTTCCATTTTGGAGCCCAAATGGAGCCTTGTCTTCATTAGTAACAGAATAGACATCATAACATTCTTTAATTTCATCCTTTAAATCATCAGGTATTGAGCATGATCCATTTCTCACTTTCAGCTGCCGAATACGAGGCACCCCTAAAAGCAGATTCTCATAGTAAATGAAGCTTTTATTTTCTGCCATGGTTTTATTATTGTACCACATCTTCCAGTACAGACCATCCAACAAAGGGCCTTCTGTGAACTGAGGAGAAAGACAGAATAATTTTAGAAGTGATCAGTTTACTTACAGCCAACACTTAATATTTTAATCATGTTCATTCTTGCCATGGAAGCATTTTTATTACAAATGCCAATTTTTTGCTTTTAACAGAAAATGATTTTGCTATATAGAATCAATTAGAAACAACTTTTCTGGAAAATTAAGTGTTGCTAGGCCCAAGGGGAATTTTCTTCTACCCATCATGATCAGAAGAATGTTAGCTATGCTACCTCGACTGTGGCAAAGGAAGGAAAGGAAGACAACTAAATAATCCTGGGCCCTTGTTAAAACGAACAGCTTCTTTGTGCCCATTATCTTTTGGAATTAAAGCGCACACACACACACCCTACTCCATGCTAATCACCCATTCAACAGCATGTAGCATTTCTTAATCATCATAACACTTTTTAGCTCAGAGTCAAATAAAAACACAGATCACACACACAATGTAGTAGTTTAAAGTACAAATAAATGGAAATGTATCATTGCTTGATATATGACATCATTATGAAAAATTGCTGTTGATCAGAAAAGCTAGAATTTTCAAAAGTTCAAGTGATTTAGGAGCCTAAGTCCCGTTGGGCTCATCTACAGGTTCATTAATGTGCCTTTGCTACTGCACATTAAGCTTATTACCTCTAATATGAGGTACTACATAAAGATGCACTGGGCTGCGCTAATGCACGGTAGCAAAGGCAGTTGACAAGTTCTACTGTGCATTAGCACGGTTTTTGCCATGACACATTAATGCACAGTAGAATAGTTACTGTGCTTTACAGTGTCTTGTGTAGACACACTCATGGAAAGATAGTTTTAAGACTTTTAATTTTACTAAGGCTTCATTGTGAAACAGTGTTTTGCGGATAAGGAAAAGAGAACTAGAGGAATTCAAAATAATTTTGCACTAAAAATCATTATAACATTTTCCATATAGCACCAACCACCCCAGAGCAGCCCAAACCACTCAATGACCCTGTTCTTGTACCACAATCTCCCCTTGCCCTTCTTGGTATAAGGGCACTGTAACGGCTCAGAGAGAAACTGAAGATCAATGACCTACAAACAAAAGTTCAAATCCTACAAAAAGTTATGCATATGTTAAGCTCTAAGCATGCAAATAGTATCCCCGAAACCAACAGGATCATTCATGTGCTTAAAGTTAAGTATGCTCAATCTTAGCAAGAGTGTGATCTAGAACTGCTTTAAATGTTGAGCAAAAGTGCAGAGGGCCGAGATGCAACCCTACTAGGAAGTACCGCATTCAGAGCAGCCAGCTGTTGCCCCAAACCTGGGCAAACTTTTGGGTGATTTCCTGAACCTCGCCCTGGGTCCAATAGTGAGCGGGGCTTCTATTGCTGCATCTTCTATGCAGCTAAGAGCTGTGAATCTTCTTGGACAGGGGTAGGCAATTATTTGGCTTGGAGAGCCACTTAGGGAGGTTTGGTGAGCTGTTACAGGCTGGGTCAGCAACACCCCCCCCAGCCCACCAAAACTGTTTAAGTGGTCTGTGGCGCTGGATGGAGTGGGCTAGTGAGTCTCCATGGAGACCGGCCTGGGACCCCCACAGGCAGGACGTCGTTGGCTGCGCAGTTGGGATCGAGCCACAGGCAGGCAGGGAGTAGCATCTGGGAGCAGGGCAAGAAGGGCTGGGATTGCAGGGTGGTAACAGCGTGGGGCCAGGGCACCAGGCAGAGCTGCAATTGACTAAGCACATGGCTCTGAGCTGTCACCGCCTCGCGATCCTGTCCCTAGCCCCAGCCCTGTCCACTCATCTGTCCCACACCCCACCCACCCACCACCCCATTCACCTGGCCAAGCAGGCCCTCCCCACAGGGGTGTCTTGGCCAGTCCCTAAAGAAACCCTTCCAACCCACCTGATCCATCCACTACCCCGGGCAATGAGTGCGGGGGGGGGGGGGGGGGGCCCC